TAGGATTTGCAAAAAAATTAGATCAGTGGAAAGATACTTAGGTAATCTTTCATCTTGAGTACTGCCAAAGAGAAAAATCACAAAGAAATTTTGAAAGATTTCTGGGTTAGGGTCCATGTTGATGACTCTAGGGTGAGGATGGCCAGTTCATGCTTTGCAAAGGATAAAATCATGCTAGTTTTGCTTGTAGTTTTGATGACTCTCCCATTGAAGGAGATTGTGTTCACCTGTTGCATGCCTATGAAATGTGCCTCAAGATCCTATGGAAGGGGAGACCCTGCCTTCCAAACTCAACCGCTGGAGAGCACCACTAAAGCCGGGTGTCTTTGAGGCCATGCCAAAAGGGATTGAAGTCAAGGAGTTAAAGAGGGACAGAAGCTAATCAGAGATGTTTGGAGTGTGAATTACGCTCTTATACACTGGTTGGTTTTCCAGATAAGGAAAGAATATCTACTTACATTTTCTGGGACACACTGTGTCCAGTGTTTGTTTCCTAAACCATCTGGTGATCTAAGGGAAGAACTGGACCCCACTGCCAAATTGTGCAATTATACAAAAAATAAAGCACTGCACACCTCATCCTTTGCCTTGTTTGGTGATACTTTGAATACTACTAACAGAGTCCTTCTGTCCATACTTAGACTCCTTGGACATCGAAGAGAACTAGGAATTGGCCAGATTTAGAAACGGAAAGACTCCTTACTCTGCTGTGAGAACAGTAATTCAAAGACCAACAGCCTCAAACTTTCAGAACTTAGGATATTTGGCAAAAAAGACATTTGAAGCTTTGAGGTCCTTGAACCTAGTGTTTCAAGGAGCAAAACATTGACATCATTGCTCATTAAGATAATACTCTAAGCACTTAGAGCAAAAACCCAGCTATGGAGACAGCAAATTGGTGCTAAAAATGTCTTCATTTCCTTGACTTAAGCTCTTTAAGACATAAGGTTCTGGAAAATACTTTCATAGAGGAGAGAAGTCAAATTGCATCTCGCCTATTAGGACGAAACAGAGCCAGGCTTCTTTCCCTGGCTTTGTGGTTGCAAATTCTTTTTAGAAGCTTGTGGGGAACAGTTTTTTTAACTGTTGTTCAGTCTTTGCCAGAAGATCTCCAAGGTCTTTGCTGGAACTCAAGTTTGCTTTCGTTGCCAAGACAACTTCCAGAAAATCACTTTGGGGAATTTTTGGGTAAAATGTTCCCTGTTTACCCCATAACAAGTGAGCAGCCTCTGTGCTTGTTACTGCTGCCGTTTTCCTCCCCACAGCAGATCTGGTTCCACAGTTCTGGAATTAGGAAGATGTCCAGGCTGAGCCCTGTGTCTTACTCTGACTTGTAAACTGCCCAGAATTGTGCCATCTCAGATGCAGCTGTCACATGGGCATCCAGCAGTCAAAATGTTAAAAAAAAAAAATTTTTTTTTTAAATGTGAGACTTTTACGATGAAACAGTTCTCTAGTTTTTTCTAAAATGACTCTGGCTGCACTATTTATTTTGCAGTTTCAAAACGTATTAAAGGAGGGTGTGAAATTTTGATGTTAATAAAAAGGAGAGCATTGTGTTTAAGCATTTTGTAATTTTTTTTTAATGAACACAGTCTTACATGGAAGATGAGAAATTGGAGAATTCATTTGGCTTGAAGTGACCTGTTGATCACAAGAGGGGAGCCTGGAACCAGGGAAGCTGGAAGATCTGGCAGCTGGAGTTAGGGCAGGGAGGCTGCTTTGGAAAGAGCTCCAGATGAGCTCAGAAGGAGAGGCACTGACAGAATCGAAACAACCCCAAGCTTGAAGTAACTACAACACTGGGCAGCCTAGCCTCTAGGAAATCAGGAAGGTCCTGGGTTACACAGTAGAGCTGTTCTAAGAATACAGTAGAGACTCAGGCCAGGAAACCAGGGCCCAGGGTCGGAGCAGAACTGGAATTAAGTGTGGCAATGCTAAGTCTCCCTTTGCATCTGAACTGTTTCTTAAATTTGCCTTCAGGGGCCAACAGGCGTGCTTGCAAATGGGGTTTATGGTGTCTTATACAGAGGATGGAGGGAAATGCCTAAACCAGTGTTTCTCAACCTTGACTATACAGGGGGACCCCCATGAAGGTGGCCGCTTCTAAAAATGCTAACTAGATCCCCACCTCCAGAGATTCTGACCTAAGTCATTGGGGATGGGGCCTGTGCACATCAGTATTTTGTAAAAAGTTACCCAGGGGATTGTAATGGCAGCCAGGACTGAGAACCACTGGCCTAAGGGACCAGGAAATGAAGCAGAAGCTACACAACAATTAGACTGGACTTGTTTAGAGAGGGGATGATCAGGACACATTCTGATGTGGAGCAAAAAGGGGCAATTGATTGAGAGCCAGTGATGCTCCCTCTGCCATTTGCTGCTGGGATGACATTGAACAGGTTAACTCGTGTCTTATTTCTTGTTTTGTTTTCCCATTTCATAGTCAAGCTGGGAGAGTGAGAATACCTGCTTCATTACAGTCTTGCTAAATTAAATGAGACGGCACACACAGCTTCCACGCCCTGGACGTGTCCTCACTAGGAACTGTGACCAAGTGTTTGTTGAATTCAGTAGATGACCTTGAAGTAGATGGAGTTACTTCTGTACACTGTCAAAAACTGCAAAATGCAGTAGGAATAGGGTTGAAGAACATGATCCCTGGCATCTGTGAGTGAGGCTGGCAGAAACAGGGAGAGATTGGAGGCCAGGGTTCTTAGGACAAGGGTTCACAAACTAGGCTGGTCCACTACTTGTTTTTGTAAATAAAATTTTATTGGAACACAGCCATGCCCATGTGTCACACATTTCTGTGGCTCCTTTTGTGCTGACCTGGCAGAGTGGAGTACTCGAATCAGAGGCTGTGTTGCCTTCAGAGTAAAACGTATTTCCTTTCTGGGCATTTACAGAAAAAGTTTGACCCCTGTTTTAGAATAAGATTAAAAGA